GATGGATTTTTAAGGGTGATAAAAATCTGTAGCACAACTTCCTTCGGAGGGGAAGTAAAGCCGGTGGTCCCATGTCGTAGATTTACGGCATGTAAAAGAACCTTACGAGCATGAACGAGATGTTTCGTGAGCAAAATTCAGTGGCCATTTCTCACCAAGTCTCTCCTGATTCACTACTAGATGGCTCTAGCAGACAAAGTCAGGATTGAGTAGAAAATGTGCAGAGGCCGTGGACTGGTCACTCACTACTCATAGAAGACAAAGAAACCTCCCATATGGGAGGAGGCCAAGGCTCCGCTTCGGGCTGTTGCGTGACGGAATCGGTCAGTCAGATTATAACAAAATTTGAATGTGGTGACAAATTTTAATAAAACTCCTGTATATCAGTTCCCATGAATATCTGTTTGGTTCTTTTCAAGTTCTTGTACATGTGTAGCAGACAAACCTCGTAAAGCATACAGGTACATTTTTTTTACAACTTAATTGCAAATATTTCAGAAGATGGACTGTTCATTTCTTCAGTATTTGTCTTGAAATATGACCTACTGCAGCAATCACAGTCAGAATTTGAATTATTAATTTTTTGAAATGGATTTCTTTGTATTTACATACTTCAATATTTTGAATTATCTCAATCTGAAAATTTTTCTGTAACATTGCTCATGAACTGAGACACACACAGCCACAGTCTTATAAAAACCACATTACAGCCTAAAAATATAGACTACAAGCCTCTTCAAGAAGATTAAGAATAGGACTAGAATTTCATAGAAATAACAAAAAATATACCTTACATTTTATCCTACTCATGTGTATTTATTTTTTATTTTCATGCCATTCAGTTCATGAGCACTGTTTTTAAAAAGTTGTATGCATTTCTTCTGTACACACTCTATATTCTCCTGAGTTTAGTCACGACAGATGGAATTTTGCAACTTCGAATTATTAGTCTGATGTATCTCGTTCTTTCCGATAAATTTAGCTTCTTGCAGGATGGGACAAGAGCTCAGTAGTTCACTGACAATACTGTGTGTAGCAGACTTCTTTTGTACTCAAGTTGAGTCCAGCATTACGTCTTCTGTATTAGAAATAGAAAATATATAGACTCAGATTTCGGACACTTCTCATGATGTACGACACATTCAACGTTGGGTGGAAGTTAAAACTCCTGGTCCACCACACAACTCATAATATCTGAGCAGAGCCCAAAATAACGCTGGGTGAAGGTGTTTATATTCAGAAGATTTTCTTGTATTATAAAGTTTACTGAAAAAAATAAATCATATTACTTTATTTATGTTCAGAGTAAAGCAAAGTAAAGCCGTCCTGCTACACCCCATGTATGTTGCTCCGGGGGAGTGGACCTTGGCACTAGGTGGGGGTGAGTGGTCAGTGTCACGCCCCTGCCGCGCTCTTCCCCCGGGAAAGGACACCAGTACCCATTGGTTAGGAGGCAGGGTGCAGAGGCTAGAGGAAAAATCCTCAGCGATTACATAACTGAATTGAAATATCTTTTTAGCTCCAGATGTATAAATAAATTTGTAAGGAAGTAGTTAATAATATTTTCAGATAGTTTAATTTTAAATATTGCAACATAGGTGACAGTAGTTGCCACATAGTACTTCTCTAGTATTTCTAAAAGAACTGTGTGTTAAGTCCTCTCTAAACACGTGCGTGCCTTTCGTAAAATCCTCTTGCTACCGACTTTTCACGATTATCCAATCGATGCCTATTTTTCCATGTATCTGTATCAGTAAGACCACTGATTTCATGAGGTTTCTTGTAACATTTTAGTTGACATATTCATGCGTACTGCTGTTCTGTAACCATCATACAGCTGCTTCTTATGTTTACAGTCGAGGCCGCGATTGTTTTAGCATTCATTTGCCGTCTTCAGGGGCTCATCAATATGTAAGTTGTGCCAGTGATGTTAATTTGTTGTGTGAGACATAAATATCGTAAAGAAAAGTACAGAAACTAGTGAGGAAGTTTTTTTCTAGAAGTTGATACAAGGAACGTTGAAAATATGTTAATGTCTCGTCACAGCTCTACAGCAAAATCTTTGATTGAGGAAACCAATGAATCGTTTGGAACTGTGACAAAGTTGAGAAGAATTAAAATGTTTCCTATTATTACTATTGTGTCTGGGTTTCTTATTTCTGTGTAATCTTTTTCTCTTTTTTGAACTATTCTGTGTTATTTGTATAGTCCCTGCTTACTGCAAATATAGTGTAGTTTGTATAGCATTTATTTGACTTCATGTCGTTATC